AAATAATTATCTTGGTATTTTTATAAAGCTAATAAGATGGCCTATAAAATAAAATCATAAAAAATTGTCACTCTTTGGCAAAATTCACAATTTTAAGGGTAGTCGAATACCTGAATGAAAATTATAAAGAAATGCTAGTCATGTGAGAGAACACAGTGTCAGGTTATTACATGACACAACAATCTGAAATAAGTAATTTGAACACATCCCATGAATTTTTATCATTAGTGCTATTTGATTTGACAGTTTTTTTTTCTAAAAATGTTACCATTTACGGTATTGTGTTCGGCATATGATTTATTTCGACATTCTGCATTAAAAATAAAGATACGTTTATAATTAAATACGGCAATCACCAAGTTTAAAAATGGGGGGGAACAGTTTTCTATAGATTTGAAAGAGTTAAGAATTCCCCCCCCCCCTTTTCTTATTGAATATGTTTCTGAGATATTTTCATTGACTTCTTATTTAGAAAATATTGTACCAACACCTCTATTTGAATTATTGGGATTTTAAAATATTTTTCTTGAATAGGAAGTTTAATATTTGAAAACTTAATTATAATAAGTTTCATACGTCGTATAGGATGGCCTGGTTAGTCATCCTTTACACACAATGGATAATATTTTAAACAAAATCACAAACATTTTTTACAACATATCCATATATTCAATATACTAAACGAACCAATCCTCGATGGATGTTATTTTAAATTTATCTATATTAAATAAACCTACTACCAAACAAAAACCGAAATGAGGGAACTCCTTACAAGCTCTTATAATGGCATGCAATTTTACCAATATTGTATTTGAAATAATTCGATGAATCTATTCCATTTTGTTCCTATTAAATATATTTTGAATCACAGCACAATAATCATTTAGGCTTTTTAAATGTGATGAAGTTTAATAAAATTTCTACCATTTATTAGTTTTCCTTTTGATTTCGATTAATAGCTTTAAAATACACAAAAAGCACTCAAAAATAAAAATTAAAATATGAAAAATTAAGGCTTTGTTTACCTTTTATGAGGGGTGAAAATGCTCAATAATTGCAGTGCACTAAAAGTTGAGTACAAATTATTCATTTATGAAAAAAGAGCTACAATAAGCTTTGTTTTAAGTTTAATTGAATTTTTAATTAAATTAGTCATGAAAATGAACACTTTGTAAGAAACTTTGTTTATACAGTCATTTTTTCTTTATTCTGTTTTGTGAAGAAAAATCCTATTTTCATAATGTTTGCATGCATTTGAAATTCATAATTTATGAATTTATGAATTCTTAATTTTTTTTCAAAAAAAGTATTTCAAATATCAGAATTTGGATTTCGAAACTATGGAACTCAGAATTTGTGATTTTATAAGAGATTTTCAATAAGAAATTAACAGGAAAAAAAATCCAATGATTTTCTCTTCTAGTAAAAATCCTTTAAATTTCACGAACCATTTCGAAAACCAAATTGAACCCTATTTCTCATTATTAAACATGTTTTCTTAGAAAAATAAGATTAATATTCTCTTGCATTTTATTTTCATTTTAATACATCATATTCACTCATTTTTTTAAATGTCCAAAGAACCTTTTGAAAAAACTATAAAATAAGATAAATGCATTTAAAAAAAATGTTTTCCCTGCATTTAGTGGAAAATTTAATGAAAACTAAAAAAAAAAAAAAAAAAAAATCCCATCATATGCATTTTTTCTTTAAATTAATTATTTTAAAATAGCTTTTTAAATTGAAAAATTGTCCTCATGAGTAGTATTGCTGATTGTACCATTTAGGCTCAATTATTTAGATGAACAAGGATTGTATCTACCAAAAGGCTATTAAGTGAAGAAAATAATTATTTCGATCAGAATGTAGTCTTAAATATTTTAATCTATTGAAAAGGAAATTAAAACTGATCTTCTAAAAGTATATTATTAAAAGAACTAAAACATAACTAAACCAAAAAAATATATATAAATTAAAAATCCCCCCGAAAATTAACATAAAACTAACTTTTTTTCCATCCTTTAGCTCGTTTACGTTTTTGAGTATACTGTTTATTTCTTGCATGATGTTTTTGTCAATTTAGTTTAATGCAAATAGACATATTTAAAAATAAAATTCAATTATTGTTTTTTTAAAGTGCTTGAATCTCAATCGAAAAATTAAAAAGGCATTTTTTGTATACTCGATTGTACCTCAAGATATATTTTTGGGATTAAAAACTCCTATATGTTATTGAAATGAGTCTTTTTTGTATAAGACTAATATTTTTAAATGTTAAGGAATTTTCTTTTCCCCTTAAATTTTGATGTACGAGAGCAACAATTTGTTGATAAACACAGAGAAACGCAGTTTTTTAGTAATTACGAGTGAATAAGTTTAGTAATTATTTTGAAAACGGCAGTTAAAAAGCACTGTTCATTAATTCTGGTTTTAAAATATTATCAGAGATTACATCTAAAACATCATTTAAAATATGAATGATTGATAGAAACTTCAACAGAAAATAATATAAATTTTTTTTTTAAGTCAATTCCTACTTTGGTCAACAAAGAAACATTTTATTTTATTTAATTTTTATTAAATAGTGACACTTAATATAAATATTAGAAAAATATAAGACAGAATCACAATATTAAGTGACAAAATAGAAAGCGATTTTGTGCTTGCAATTTTCCATTTTCCTTTCTATATAGGGTGTTGAACTATTTTTGTTTGCTTTTTACTATTTATTCATTCATTAAATTTAATTATTATAATAAAATAGTGTGGTAAAAAAGAAATCACATTCTCAGAAATTAGGCCATTTCAGGCGGGACCAAAAAACCCACGACCTTCGGATTAGAAGTCCAACGCGCTAATCATTGCGCTACTGGGATACAACGAACAATTTTCTTTCTATAAATGCTGTTGAACTATTATTCTTGTTTGTTTCTATTTATTGATTTTGTAATTTAATTAATGAATTAATATTTGATAAAACTGTTTTTACATCAAGTATAATCCATTACATGTTTAAAAAATGGATTTGAAGGGATGAATAGAAAGGTTTTTATTAACGATTAAAAATTTGAACAATATATATATATATATATATATATATATATATATATATATATATATATATATATATATATATATATATATATATAAGGAGAGCGTGAACTAACTGTAAGAACTGAAAAAAAAGAGAACGTAAAATATTTATATAAATTAATTTAAATTGTTGTGAGCACATAAAAAAGCATCAATATCAAGTATTCAATTTCAATTCAAGTATTTATTTCAATCTCTTTCAATAAGATGAATGAAAGAACAGAATAAAAAGCAAGGGGTTTAAAAAAATGACTGTCATTCTAGACGTTTGTGTTTACATCAATAGCATGGTAATATTTATTTATCTTATTATATTTGAATTTCCTGTCTCTTATCATTTGAGCTCTGTAGAACCGTTAAATTATTTAATCGGAAAAATCTTTCATGAAAAAAATTTCATTGATCATCAAACATTTGCAATCTTACTTCAATCTAAAAGATTTTCGAAAAATAGTAGAAATTATTTTGGATACTCTGGCAGTCGAGAAGTTTTTTTTTTTAAATATCTAATGCTATTTTTTACATTTTGTTTGGTTTTGTATCTAATAAACAGATGAACAAAAAATAATTATTACTAGTGTTATAAAACAATATTTTATGAATAGTTGTTACAATGTATTATTTTCAAATGTTTTCTTATTTCATTATAAAAGTCTCTCTGAAAACTGTTATTCGTTTTGGAACTCGTTACCTTGCTTAAAATAACAGATGGTCAAAGTAAAGTATCGGAAATAATAAGAAAAAAACGGAACGGCAATGTTTTTGTAAGTATTTTACGCAGTTATAAGTTTATTATTTTAATAAGAATTCTATTTTTATTTTAATCCCTTAAGCATTTTTAAGCAAAACATTTTGTATTCAATTTCTGTAAGAAAACCATTTAGCGAACCATATTTAATGTAACATATTTTCATTGTTATGTTTCAAAAATAAAAAGTAAAAAAAAAATCTAAAATGGCAGTCTTGAAAGTATTTTACATTACAATGTATTTCTTTATTTCAATAAATAAAAAAGTTCTGAAGAGTAGGAGAGAGAGTAACTTATTTTTGCTCTTTTCTTATTACTTTTATACTAAACATGTTTTGAATTTAAGGTATCCGACTACCCTAAAATTGTGAATTTTGCCCAAAATTGACAAATATTTTATGATTTTATTTTATAGGCCATCTCTTTAACTTTATAAAAATATGAAGTTTATTATTTTCCGTTCACTAGGACAAAAACTACAAGTGTTTTAGTAAAAGCAGATGTCATTACATTAAGCTAGATGTCATAGTTTAAAAAGCGTTTCACTCGAAAAGTGTCTTTTTGAAAATACTCAAACGGGGCCAGCGATTGCTCAAAAAGTTTTGAAAATAGTGAACTGAAATTTTTTGTATATATGTTCTGTATAATAGTAGAAGTGTTTTAACCGTCATATTTATCAATTACTGTTTTATTACAAAATTTACAGCCACTTATATGAATATAGCCACTGCTTTTTAAGCAATTTCATGTAAAAACAAAGATAAAGTGCTCTAGTTTTTGCAAAAATTAGAACATCTCTTATCCGGAAGGTCACTTCAAAAATGAATAACATAGCAACACATCAAAGTTGAAAATCTGTTCATAAAATTTTCGTACAGAATGGGCCGCGTTTATGTTATTTGTTGTCAATTTTTACTCATTTTTTCCCATTTTAGTAATAATTATTTCTGTTTCTCTTCTTAATTTTAGCATATTTTTCTTAAAATGTACTAAACAAATCTAAAAAGAACAACAACAAAAAAATCCCCTTATCTCCATTTTTAAAAAAAAAGTTGTCGCAAGTAGTTGGGTATTAAAGAAATATTATTTTACAATACAATTGAACGGCAAAGCCACGTATTTGCCACGTTAAGCCTACATAAATATTCAATTTAGCTCTCTGTTATATTTATTTTAATCAGGGAGTATTTATTAGTCACCCTACAAAGTAACAAAATGGCTGTTGGCAACTCACTTCGTAATTTTTAACCTCATTCAGTTGACCAGAACAACACCTGAGCTGGCACCCTGTCTCCAAACTACCCCATGACGCTAACTAGAGAACTTTGAGCCTCGAAAGATTCAACATAAATCAACCCTTCTACACAGTGTCTCTAAGCTCGAACTCCTGACACGCTGGGCATGAATTTGTGATTGTAACCACTAGCTACTACGACCGTTATTTTTATTGAAAGAATTCGTTCTAATAACACAGTATAAATAGCCATTAAATTTAATATTTAACAGAAATAAGTTAATTTATTTTCAGTGTGATTTTTTTATACGAGGGTTGAGGCAAAAGTCATGGCAACTATTTTTTTTCTTGAAGATAGCAGTCCGGTTGGAAAATGTGACGAAAGGACAAGGTGTTAACTACATGTGTGGACAATAAATAACACTGAAATATCGTAACACACTAATTTATTACTGCAGCATACAGGGTAGGTAATATGGCCTTCACGGTGCAAAAGAATGAAATCACAGTATACATAAAGTTGACTAGACGATGCGTTTGTTGTGCGTTTCTCCATCCGTCTTTGTTTGTTGTCTCGATCGTCTGTCTTCATCCTCGATGACGGCACGTGCCAAGTCGGTCCGCACATTGAGCGGTCGTCCCGAACGTTGCTCATCACTGGTTGACACACGTCCTTGTGAAACTTTCCTACCCACCGTGATACTGTACGGTTTGGTAGGGCATTATTCTTAAGGGCTTCCACAAATTCACTATGACATTCCATCTCATTTCTCCCTCGGAGAACGAGTATTTTGATGTAAGCGCGCTGCTCAACACGGGTTACTTCCATCTCACACGACACTCACCAACTGAATAATTTCACATCCCTCGCTGCGCTAATACCAGCTATCACAGAGCCATCTGTTGTTCTGCATATACACTATGCCTGCAGAACTTCCACACTACTCATATACGTTTGTAATCCTTTCACATATCTACAAGGAAAAAAAATATTTGCCATGACTTATGCCCAACCCTCGTTTTTGTAATAATTCATTCATTTACTCTTGAATATGTTTTTAATTTGTAATTGTCTGACCATTTTAGGACTCGTGCTTAAATAATAACTATCTACCCTCCAAACTGGAATCTTCTGAACGATATCTTTCGACCAATAAATAAGCTCCGTCCACGGAGATAATGTGAGGGGTATTTCCGTCGTATAAATACCGAGATTCCGAAAAATCCGCCTTCTTTTCTTCTTTGTCTTCGTCATGTGGAACTAGCTGCAGTCTGGTTTGTGTCTCTTGTCTCCTTCCTGTATTGTGGGAACGCTATGTGTTTAATGTACAATGAAAATGAATTACCAAAATACCAAAGACTGCTTCCTCGTCAATATTATCCATGCAACACCAGCAATTAAATTATGATCCAGTTAAAGAATTCCTTACATTTTCCAAACTATGATATACAGTAGGGCACACAAAAATTTTTCTAGGAGGGAGTCCATGGTCTAAAGTCTCCCGACTCGTATCATACCTCAAGACAACACCAAATGATTATTCTGATTTTGTCGATTTTGGTAACAAAAAACAGGAAAAAATATATTATTGAATTAGCATTAATTAATAAAATAAATTTTAAATTACAAGTACTTAATTAAATTTTACGTTATATATATATATATATATAGGAGTATCATCAATCTAAAAAAAAACTCAAGGGCTTTGGGGGTGTCCGGACCCTCAGGACACCCCTCTTGTGTACGCCACTGATGATATATATATATATATATATATATATATATATATATATATATATATATATATATATATATATATATATATATATATATATATATATATATATATGATCAAATTATATTTGGTAGTGCCTTAGAAAGCTAGAAATCTCTAAAAAATCAAACTGTTTTACAATCAGTTTCTAAAACCTGGTTCACACGAATCAGCCTTTTTTTTTAAAGTACAGTTCTAAAGAGATGTAACAAATATAGACAAACTACCAATAATTTTGAAACATACTTCATTGAGCATATGCAAAATTTAATATATATATTAAATATCAGACATAAGTCTATCTTCTGTTTCATTTCACTTCCATCTAAACACAGTAATAATTATTATCTTTTCCGATAAAACAAATTTAGTGGGTTGGAAAGCACTACTGTAGAGTTTCAGATATCCTCAAACCAGAGATAAAGGTTATAAGAGGAGACTCTTAGATGAAACGCTCATTAATGCTTAGTCGATATCAGGCTGGACGCACCTCTTGATTATCAGGGTGCTTTGTCTGAAGCTCCCCCTGGTATGCATCACGCGAGAGTGGATGTTTTCTCCCTCATACAGTTAGCTGATATCTCTGTGAGATCTCTGAAGCATTACGTCTGATTGGATTAGCCGAAGATCTCCTTGTGTTCTAATGCTGAACTGCAGAGAGGAGAATTTATCAATGGCTCCCTTATGGTTTAGGTGATTACGATAGTGCGTTATAGATCTTGCTTATAGAAAGTAAAATTTTTTGTTTTTGAAACACTTAAGGTATCCCATTGGTTGCGTTTAATGCTCTAATCATGCTTAAAGTAATGACATCTGCTTTTACTAAAACAGTTGTAGTTTTTGTTCTAGTGAACGGAAAATGATAATCTTGGTATTTTTTTATAAAGATAATAAAATGGCCTATAGAATAAAATCATAAAAAAAATTGTCAATTTGTGGCGAAGTTCACAATTTTAGGGTAGTCGGATACCTTAAAACGAAGGAAAAATAGCCCCTATTGAATTCTTGAAATCTGTTATATTCTTA